ATAACACTCCATGGACCCAACCTCCATGAATATATCTAACTTCTCTTTAAACTCTGTTATAGTTCTAACCTCCTGCAGCAAGGAGTTCCACAGGTTGACTATTTGCTTTGTGAAAAAGAACTTTCTGTTATTAGTTTGAAGCCTGCTACCCATTCATTTCATTTGGTGTCCTCCAGTCCTTCTATTATGGGAACTAATGAAGAATTTTTCTTTATGCACCCTCTCCACACCACTCGTGCTTTTAGAGACCTCAATCATATCCCCCCTCAGTCTCCTCTTTTCTAAGCTGAAAAGTCCCAGTCTCTTTAGCCTTTTTTCATATGGGACCTGTTCCAAACCCCTGATCATTTTAGTTGCCCTCCCCTCTCCCATCCTCTCTCTTCCCCTCTCCCACCTCCTTTTTCCAGTTTCCCCGAGTTTTGTTCAATAAAGAGAGTTTCTATTTTTGAACACACATGTCCTTTATTTTGTACATCAGGAAGGGGGGGCTAGAGAGGGGTAAGTGGAAGTAGGTGAGGGAGGACTGGCGTACGAGCCCCCGATGGGGAGGACTGGGGTGGCTCTGCCGGCTCCTTGGGGTGGAAGCTCTCCTGCAGCCCCCCGATTGACCCGCCCCCCGGATGGAAGCCTGCAGCAAGTGCAGCCGGGCTGATGGCCAAGTGCTGTGATGTGCCGAGTGTGGGCACTCCAAACCAGGACTGCTTTGCAAACGGGGAACCTCTGAGAACTGTCTGTCCGGGGTGGGGGTCGGGTCCCTTTAAGTATAGCCCTCGGCTAGCCTGAGACAGCAGCTCCATACTCTAAGTCCTCATCTGATGCCCTGCCGGCACTGCTTCTGGCCATCCTTAACCTCGGTTCAGGGTCCACTCAGTGTGGACATGCTAGTTCGAATTAGCAAAATGCTAATTCGAACTAGTTTTTAAGTCTGGATGTGCTAATTCGAATTAGCTTAGTTTGAATTAACCAATTCAAGCTAAGTTAGTTCGAATTAGCTCTGTAGTGTAGACATACCCCTAGACTGTTCCTCTCCTACGCCAAATGGTCTACAGGACAGGCAGTCTCATCTCAAAGAATTTTGAAATGGGTCACTTCCTGTATACGAACTTGTTATGAGTTACACAGTAAACACTTACCTGAATCCATAAAGGCTCATTCCATGAGAGCGATGGCCTCTACAACTGCCTTCTTTAACAATGTTCCTCTGCAAGACATCTGCAACACCGCCACCTGGTTATCTGGCCATACATTTGCGCAACACTATGCACTAAATTGTATTAAAAAGTGTCACACCAGGCTGTGAGGCTGGGAGTTGATCCTGATAGCTCCCCCACGGTCACCAGATAAAGAAACAAATCTCAAGATGGGTAAATAAAACTGAAGAAACACCAATCTGTCTGGTCAGAAACTATTGATCAATTGAGAATGTAAAATCAGGAATAAGGGGCCACCCCTCCCAGGAGTAGCTCCTCCCCCTCCCAGTTGAATGTCTCCTCCCCCTCTTCTCCTTGTAAATAAAAAGATACAAGTTTTTCTGTTTCAAACCAAACTGTGTTGTTGTTTATTGGGAAGTAAGGGGAGGGGACGGAGAAGGGAGGGGATGGGAGGGAGTTGTATGGGGAGACCAAGGCGACCCTACTATGCGGTCTGTGCAAACATGTCCGTCAGGGCCTCTCAGATGTGTATCCCATCCTGGTGCGCCTGGCAGATGGCAGCTGTGTGGGGCTGTTCGAATGTATGTGCGTCGCCTGCCATCCATGCTGTGAGGAAGGCCTCCTCCTTCTGCTCCACGATGTTGTGGAGCACACAGCACGCGGCCACTACCTCGGGGACATTCCTCTCACCCATCTCCAGATGGGTGAGCAAATAGCGAAACCGGGCTTTCAGGTTTCCAGGATGCTTTCTGGTTGCAGACCCGGTTGAGGTGGTCGTTGAACCATGCTCGGTTGTGGTCTGTCCGCCCCATGTAGGGCCGCATTAACCAGGGCAGCAGGGGGTAGGCTGTGTCCCCACAACAAACGTGGCCATGGGCACGTCCCCGACAGTAAATTCCCACTGGGGGAAGAAAGTGCCCGTCTCCAGCCTGCCAAACAGGCCGGAGTTTCGTAGAATGCTGGCGTCACATGCCCAGCCGGACCAGCCCACATAAATGTCCAGGAAGCGGCCACGGTGGTCCATGAGGGCCTGGAGTACAATGGAGAAGTACCCCTTTCAGTTTATAAAATGGGCCGCTCGATGCTCCGAGGCACGGACAGGGATGTGGGTTGCATCCAGGGTTCCCCCGCAGTTGGGGAACCCAAGGGCAGTAAAGCCGGCCACTGTAGCCTCCACATCCCGCAGGCGGATGACTCGCTGGAGCAGGACATCATTGATGGCACAGACGACCTGCAGAAGGGTGCAAGGAAAAACACAGGGGAATGCATCACATAAGGCAGGGTGAGTGCGTGCTCCCATGGGGGGGGGGGTTCCCCCCGTGATGCCCTCTGTCCTCACACTCATACACCAGGGCCCCCACAGGCCACCCCCAACTCCCCCAGCATGTCTGTGCAAGGGAAGGACAGACCAAACTCTTGGGTGACGGGGCATTCCCCATCCCCCCAGCCTGGAGTCTTGCCTGCCCCGGGCATGGAGTGCAGCACCCTTCCCCCCCCGAGGACTTACCTGCATGACGATGGCACCAACGGTTGATCTGCCCACCCTGAACCGGTGTGCCACTGATTGGTAGCTGTCTGGGGTGGCACATAACTCCAGGAACGTCCGCTTTCGCATCCGAAAGTTCCGGAGCCATTACTGGTCGTCCCATTGCTCCAGGACCAGCTGGTCCCACCAGTTGGTACTGATGTCCAGTCTCCACAAGGGCCTCTCCATGGTGGGGTTGGGATGCCACAGGGATGCCATTGCCTCCCTGGTGAGGGAGTCCAGAGCGACCTGCACCTCGAGGTCCTGGACGATGAGTGCAGCAGCATAGAGCAGCAGCTGTAGGCACTCCAAAATGGCCGGAAGGGGCCAGAGCAGGCACAAGGCCACCTCTGGCTCAATAGCACAAGAAGAGCGCTGAGGTCAAAAAATCAGCTAATGGTACTAAGGCACAAGGCTGTTATGTCCAACAAGGCAGAGGGCAATCATAAATAGAACTGCTACGGCTGTCAGTCCCTGCAAGAGGTCCTAAAGCTCGCAGCAGGAGAGAAACGGCTGTCTGGGGAGATCCCTTTAAGCACGTGTCTCAAAGGAGCTCCAGCCCCCGCCCCCAGAAAGGGCTGGTGCCCTTTTGCCCTCTCCAAAATGGTTCCGGGCTCCCATGTACATGCTCTCTTGTGCAACTACTTTAACGCAAGAACTCTTTCATTCAAGAGCATTTGCGCAAGATCGCGCCAATGTAGACGTAGACTGAGTGACTTGCCTAGGTTGATCTAATATGTAAGTTACATCATTGAAGCCTGATCTATCTTCCATGATTATCCCCCTTCTATTCTCCTCCTTCTCCTGTCTCTGTGTATGTCCAGTATCTGAAGCAGGAGTCTTAAGAATGGTCATAGTTATGGGGGATGGGACATGATGGGTGTTGCTCACCCCACCCCCAACTACAAGACTTGAGCAGCCATGGAATTTGTCATGTGCAGCCTGGCTGGAGCTGCCCCCCCAAAATATAAAACTATACCTATGATTTTGAGGTCTTTGGATCTGCCTTCTTTCCAAAGCCCGTTAAAACACAAGTTCTTTACTGTCACTGGTTTTGTTACCATTTTCATTTTGCAGCACTCTCAGCCTCTATAAAGTTAAGGATAGGACTTTAGATTTTGTGGCCTCCTTTTCATATGTGTTCACTTTTTTTTTAATTGTATCCTTTGGTATATATGGTTGTGACTATTTTCTTCCACTATTTGATCTGAGGAAGTGGGTCTGGCCCACGAAAGCTCATCATCTAATAAACCATCTTGTTAGTCTTTAAAGTGCTACATTGTCCTGCATTTTGTTTCATCGTTATAACTAACTCTGTGCCAATCTAGACATGCTTTTGGAGAAATACTTTTAACGGAAAAACTTTTCTGTTAAAAGTATTTGTGTAAAATCATGCCAGTCTATACGCAGCCTATGTGCTTAGCATGTGTATTCTGCTTGTTTGGGAATTGTCAATAAATAGAGGATAAGGATATTACTGTGTGAGGCTCTTTCAGTGGCTAAAGATCCTGCCAATCTGCAGGAAGATGCGCCCTGAGCCCTAGGAATTGGGTAAGGGTGGGTGTGTAAATTAACAGGGTTGCACCTTGAGCCCTAGGAACTGGGTAAACGTGTGTGTCTCTACTGTGACGGGATAGAGAAGTTTGTGAAGGTAACAATGTGGGTGGGTTACATTTGCTCATGGAATGCCATCCCATTGTGTTTTCGTCTTCAGACCTGTTCTAGCTGAACAGCTGGTTGAGCCAGGGGAGTGGGTTGCATGCTCTGTAAGAAAACAAGGGAAGGGCAGATGCTAGAGAAAATACATTGCAGAATGCAGAAGCTAATCTCTGAGCATAAAAGAAAGTTTGTCCAACACAGTAGTCATGTGTTAGTTACAAGGGAAAAAGCATCCTGTAAGCAGTCTCCATGCAGCAGATACAGCACAGAGGTCTTAAGGGAGCAGCTGGACTCAGTTTGGTGGCGGCCTGGGAAGGAACAAATTGGGGCTCGTTCTATTGACTCTGCTTTGAAAACACGGTGGCTGTAGCTCCCATAGCTAGGCAAGGGCCTGTGTGTGCAAAGGGGCCCAGCGTGGCACGGAGGCAGGACAGGGAGTCTCATGGTCACCATGTGTTCAGGTCCAGGAAAAAGTCTGTTCCCCAGAGCTGAGCTCCATGAAGCCCCAAAGCTCGGCTCTCTCACCGACAGGTAGAAGATATCGCCTCCCCACGGAATCTGTCTAGGGAGACTGATAATTGTCTTGTAGTTTGGGTGGGAAAACACCCCCTACAAAAACAGTCACCGCTCCAAAATAAAACCACTAACTCATTTCTGTTGTACAGGAAAAACTCCAGACCCATGTGGCGACTCTGAAGGAAAGGAGAGCAAAGCTGCTGGGGTTAAAGGAGACCAGTGAGCAGAGAAGCCAGCAGTATCTGGTAGGTGTCTTGTTGTTTTTCACCAGCTGGGAGACATAGTTGGAGCTTATTGTTAGATTTTGTCGTGGCCTTGGCGAATATGGGTTTATGTGTGTTTCTCCATTCTCATGGGATAGTGTGTGTGTGTCACAAATATTCTCTCTAGAGTCTGTGTCTACATTGGCAAGAATTAGTGCAAAAGCTAATGCTTTTGTGCAAAATCTAGCCACCTGTCTACACTGGCTGCGAGTATTTGTGCAAGAACACTGACGTTCTACTGTATGAAATCGGTGCTTCTTGTGCAAATATTCTGACGCATCCGCTCAGGGATAAGTCCTTCTTGCATTAGTGAGGGGAACAGACAGAATGGCTGTGTCTAGACTGGCAAGTTTTTCCACAAAATCAGATGATTTTGCGGAAAAACTTGCCAGCTGTCTACACTGGCCGCTTGAATTTCTGCAAGAACACTGATGATCTCATGTAAGATTGTCAGTGTTCTTGCGGAAATACTGTGCTGCTCCCGTTCGGGCAAAAGCCCTCTTGCACAAATCATTTGCGCAAGAGGACCAGTGTAAACGGCACAGTCCTGTTTTGTGCAAAAAAGCCCCGATGGCTAAAATGGCGATTGGGGCTTTTTTGCGGAAAACTGCGCCTAGATTGGCCACTGACGCTTTTCTGCAAAAAGTGCTTTTACGGAAAAGTGTCCTGCCAATCTAGACACGATTTTCTGAAAATGCTTTTAACGGAAAAGTTTTCCATTAAAAGCATTTCCGGAAAATCATGCCAGTGTAGACGTAGCCAATGACTCCTCCCAAGAAGACACTCTTCACTATCTGTAAGTAGGGTAAAGTTCAGATAAATCCATTAGGTTTTATTGTTTTGTGGTTTGGGAAATGGGATCTAATGTCTGAGCATTTAAAAATGGGTTTTGCTCTCCTTTGTAATGGGCGCTATGTCGACATTGGCAATGTCTTGCACAAATACTCTTTAACACAAGAGTTCTTGCGTTAAAGTATTTGCGCAAGAGTGCGTCTACACTGGCATGTGACTTTGCGCAAAAGCATCCATGCCAGGGTAGACGCTCTCTTGTGCAAGAAAGCTCTAATGGTCATTTTAACCATAGGGCTTTCTTGCGCAAGAAATTCATGTTGCCTGTCTACACTGGCCTCTTGTGCAAGAATACTTCTGCAACAAGACTTATTCCTGAGCAGGAGCGTCATAGTTCTTGCGCAAGAACCCCTGATATCATACATTAGAACATCAGTGTACTTGCGCAAGAACTCGTGGCCAGTGTAGACAGGCAGCAAGTTTTTGCACAAAAGCGGCCGCTTTTGCGCAAAATCATGCCAATGTAGACGTAGCCGTAGGCTACGTCTACTCCAGAAATGCTTTTAACTGAAAAGTTTTCCATTAAAAGCATTTTCAGAAAATCACGTCTAGATTGGCAGGATGCTTTTCCACAAAAGCACTTTTTGCGGAAAAGCATCCGTGACCAATCTAGATGTGGTTTTGCGCAAAAAAGCCCCGATCGCCATTTTAGCCATCGGGGCTTTTTTGCACAAAACAGTACTGTGTTGTTTACACTGGCCCTCTTGCGCAAATGATTTGCGCAAGAGGGCTTTTGCCCAAACGGGAGCAGCACAGTATTTCTGCAAGAACACTGACAATCTTACATGAGATCGTCAGTGTTCTTGCGGAAATTCAAGCAGCCAGTGTAGACAGCTGGTAAGTTTTTCCGCAAAATCAAATGATTTTGCGGAAAAACTTGCCAGTCTAGACACAGCCTAAGTGTTTGGCCCATGGTGGGGATCCACCATGAGTATATTAATTTCAGACTTTTCCATCTAGTCATTATGCTTGCAACAGGAACATTGTGGTGGTAATAAAAGTCCTTTGTCTTTGCTTTATATTAAACTGGTATTGGTTAATTTTTGTGTCCTGGTTTTTATTGTTGGGGCTGAGATTTCCCAAGTGATCTCTCCCTGGTTTCTTTATCATTACTTGGGTGGTAGCAGCAGATTTTATCCCCAAAATCTAAATTGTTAAGATTTTGGGGTGAAGTTTTATACCAAAGCCTGGTAGATAAGGTTTTGGGGTACTTTTGTGGTCCCCCACTTCTGCACTTATTGTGCCAGAGTGGGGAAGGAGATATATTTCCCCTAAGTGGCCAGCACTCAGCAGGGTTTTGGGGGTTGGCAACTGCAGCTTGAGAGCAAATTTTCTATGGCCCCTTGCCCCCACAAATCAGGGAGCTTGTGCTGCAGCTTCCAGCTTGGAAGGGGAAGGGGTGGAAAGGTGCACGTGAGTCCCTGGGGAGCTACAGGGTTAATCCCTCCCCCTACAGGCTTCTTGCTTTAGGAGGGGGCAGGGCTGAGCATCTGACACACTGTGCCCGGCCGGGTTGCTCCCCATGGACTGTGTGTGGGGCTAGGGAGCCCCTTCCCCACTGCCCTGCTGGGCTGGAGTCAGCCCTGGGCAGCTCTGGGTTCTGCCTGCAGCAGCCTGCAAGCAAAGGATTGGGCCAGGCAGGAAAAAGACTCTGCCCCTCCCGCCACCTCTCCTTGTGACAGCTGCTGTCCTGCTGGTGTGCACTGGGGAGGCAGGAGGGGGGATGAAGGAGGGTGCAAGGGCAGGATGGGAGGGGGCAGGGGTTGCACTGAGAGGCCAGGGGCAGCGCCGGGGGATCAGGCTGAGGGAGTGGGGAGAATCATGGGGCTGAGGGGAATGAAGCTGGAACAGAGGGACGATGTGCGGGGAGGCTGGAGCGCAGGGCAGTGAGGTGTCTCCAGGTACAGCGAGACACAGTTTTTTTTCGGAAAAAGCCGCGCAAAATGTGCTCTGTGTTCTGCGTACCTTTTCCTGATTCTTTTGTCAGAAGAGGCTTTGCCAACATTTGGCCCATCTAGAACTGGGCCAAATGTTGGGAGTAAAACCTTTTTTCAGAATCTCCCTTACTCTCCGTAGAACGAGGAATACAGGAGCTTCCGAAAAAGCATGTTTGCTCTTCTGTGGAAAAAAAAGTGGAAGAACAAATGCATTCCCTGGATGCAGAACCTCTGGTATCCTGGAAAAACTGTACTGTAGATGTACCCTCTGTTGGGGGCCACATCAGCAAGGGCTGAGGATTTTTTGGAGGAGGTTTTCTATTTCTCATTTGTGTGGTCTCTAGTTGATTTTTCTGTGGATCAGTGACCCCTCCCATACATACAGAACACATTGACACTTTTTGTGTTGGACATAGGTTAATATTTTACTTTATCTAAAATGAATTTTGATAAACTAACATGAGAAATTTAAAATGTTTAATCTGTTTAATTAAAATTGACCATTCTTCCTCACAGCAGCTGGTTCAGAAAATATAGTCACCAAACCCAGCCTGGCCCTGCTCCTTTCCTCCTTTGGCACACAGATCTGTGAATAGTTAAATCAGGGATCCTCAAACTGTTAGTCCTGACCCCCCAGGGGGTTGTGAGCAACTTTAGAGGGGGGTCGTGGTATCAAATTTTGAGAACCCCTGGGTTAAATCATGTCACACCACTTCTGAAAGGGGGCCAACCCAGAGGGAACACTGTTGCTCAGGGCATCAGCCACTGGAGCCCTGAGTGCTGATGGTTAAATCATGTCACACCACTTCTGAAAGGGGGCCAACCCAGAGGGAACACTGTTGCTCAGGGCATCAGCCACTGGAGCCCTGAGTGCTGATG